ATGGGGTTAACGCAATCCCTGCTCTTAATATATTTCTGTGCCGCGCGAATTTCCTTTTGCGTTTATCGATTCCACTTTTAGCCAGCTGACATTATACGTAGCAAGACTATGCGTTTGTGTGAGTGAGTGGCAACAGATTGCACGCTATTCTAAATAGTGTGATTTTCTTTATTTATTGACACATAAGTAATTGTATTTCATTCGAGTGTGGCAGGTTTACTAGTCTGAACATAGCCTATTTATGTGTACCTTGCCTACATTGATATTATTGAATATAGCCAATTTATTGTGTATCTTTAGTGTGTATTTCTTATTATATTGTCACCTGTGTTATGTACTTATAGCAGTGCAAGGCTTGTTGAAGTGCATTTACGGTGATATTGAACTTGGATAGTTGTTATATTGTTATATTATATTGCCAACAGTTATTATTGACTGCTGCATAGTATCTAGCTATGAGCTGAGTTTTGCTGTGCATTTTTATACAACGTTTGTGTATTATTGTGTATGAAATTTAACACATTTTGTTGATATTTTGCCTTATTTATTAAATGCTCAAGTTGACTTGTAACTGAGATTTTGCTTCCTGTGCTGTCCTGTATCTGTTTTGAGTCATCACCTCAACCCATCAAAGCATTTTTGAATACCGACTCGTGACACCACGAATCGCCCCTGAAGATAAAATTCTATCGTATACTCTCACCAGTGGGGTCCCAGAGGTAGCTGGCCCTACACCAACAGCAGAGGAAAGAAACGAGAGGTGCGACACTGGGATGATGAACCAAGGTACAAAGTAACCGTTTTATCAATTATTGAAAAATCAAGATAAAAAAAAATTCCCTTCCCGCTACATTAAAATCAATATGGACCACCGAAATTTGGCGTTCATTTAACAAAAAATAAACCATAATTTTCAGTAATACTGACTTCGAAAATTATGATACAAAAATAATTCCATTCATACCACAAACATTTGCCGTTTTTGTTCACTTTTCACAACTGTTACAAAATATTTCATTTCTGGTTAAAATACCAGCT